ATTTAAAATAATCTATTTACAAGATCAAATTATCGTTTAGTTGCCAAGATTTAAACATGTTCAGAAGTTTTCACTCTTCCAAACGGACACATATCGGATTTGTAAAAATGATCTGTAAGTTCAGCTACTGTCATAAACATATTTACAGTCTCCTAGTGATTCGGTTAGCTTAAACATTCTAGCGTAAAGGTAATATAGAAATGACCAATTTTGTTAAAAATGCAACATTTATGTGTGTTGCATGTACTTATTTCATACGATATATGAAGCACAATATATAATGTTCTGTATAAGTTTAATCTTTATGACACTATAGAAAGTTTGTTCACGCTTAATAATCATGAGAACAATTTCATTTATTTGTCATTTTTGAAAGGTATTTCCATTCTAAAATGCGCAAAAATGACGTCATTTTAACGCAGTTCATTCATAAAACGTGCTTAAATGATGCCACTTAAAATAAACGCGACGCATCTGGTACCTATGGTGGCTAATTTGGAACGCTTTTAAGCATCGTGTTGTCGCTAGCGACATCACGACAAAGCGCCAAATGCGCATTGTCGACTTTCGTCTTGTCGTTCTGTCGCTAACGATGCACGCCAAACGGTGCGTTGTCGTGCGGCGTGTTGTTGCGAAGTCACATTGTCGCTCGGCTCAGATCAAAGGATTGGCTTAGAAGCCAAGCGACAGGACAACATCGTCACAAAACGACGCACAACAACGCATCATTTGGCGTGCTTTGCTAGCGACAGGACGATAAGACGACAATGCAGCAACGCGCCATTTGGCACGTTTTGCTAGCGACAAGACGAACAGACGAAAAGGCGATGAAGATATAGGTTTTGTTACCGCTATCGACAACGCAAAGCGCAAAGTGTACCAAATCAGCCACCATAGGTACCCCATTGTCAGTTTTACAGAAACACCTGGCATACATTTGCTGTTCAGATTGGAATGTCGTCTCTCGCCTATTTGCGGCAACTCGGTAAGCCTTGTGACTGTCAAATGGGGTATCTTAGCAACGGAAATATCAATCTGAACTGCAAGAGGTGGCATTGATAATTATCAGGACAACGTCATATTTACAAGGTAATAGCCTACATCACTGTTTCCTAGTTGCAGAGAACTGTTCCCAAGTTACAGGGTAATAACCTAGCGTAAGGGCATCATGGCAAAATTACAGGGCAACAAGCATTAATTTAATTTACAGTTCATAGTTATTACAGTATAGTTCACAGCATACGACTGTTTTTTTTTCAGTCTCAGTACAATAGACAACATATGACTGATTGCCAGTTACAAGGCTATTGACTGCATTTGACAATTTCTTAATTTGCAACAAAATATTATATGCCTGTTGAAGTTTGTGTTAATAATAACGTTTAATACGGTGTCATGTAAACAGTGGAGTACCTGGATCTTCTGTTTATATCAGTTTAATTGGCAACCTTTTTTTCTTTGGACATAATGTTATCATGACACGAACTTACAATACAAAACATGTAAACTACTAACAACAATGACATATTTGTAATGATCAAACAAAAAGGCTTTCCTTGCAAAGCCCAATTTTTTCAATTCCTTTGTTTTTTATAACATATACCTGGGTAACGGGAACTGGCGTGAAATTAAGCCTTCCGATATGGGAATAGCTGAAAATAAATTAAAACCCTTTCAATGTTGAATACCATCTTTATTAGACCTAAACAAATTAACGAGACTTGCATCGAAATGAAATCAAATTCTTAAATAATGATCACATTTATCATTTATGATTTGTCATTATACGGCCGGTATATCACATAAGGCATTGTATAAACAGTACACAAATGTCTCGCAGTCAATTTTATTATGAAATTGTCGCATCCACTTTGATACACTTTCTTAAAACATGTTCAACTACCAAAGGAATATTGTAACGTTTTTAGTAAACTTTTGAGGTCCCCTTTCTCAGAATTTCGTATTAGAATTAATTTTTGTACAAAATTACGTGACAAGAAACGGTAAAAATTAATCTATTAAATAGGTAACTCCCGCTCAATCACTACTCGGTTTCGATGATAGATAATTTAAAGTTTCAAAAAACTATATGCTCATATCCGAAAACTTATCTGTTACTAACGGTGTGCTTTTAAAACCTCGCATATCAAAAATGAAATGGTATTCACCTCATGATACTGACAATGTCTTATTTTACACTTAGGTATAGCGAACTGCCTGTGTCTTTGCTGCATGTATATCATGATTTTATTACAATTTGATCATATAAATCTAATTTTGATATGCAGATTTCAAACGAAAACACGTCTACATACATGTAAATGAATGACCAGTTTAACATGAAATACAACTTAAATTTGTATGAACAATTTAACTGTTAAAAAAACTGATCTAAAAAGAAAGCAACTCCAATTAGCTGACAGCAATACGATTTTTTATTTAAAATAATTCAGAATTAAACAATATTTGATAGGGTTTATTTCTGGAATATTTCTGCCAAACAATTAACTTTTGAGATGCTTTTCAATATAATTACGAAGTTCAAACATACAGTATGCAATATTTTAAATTGTTTAAAACAATTACTGTTAATTATATCATTAGACGGACACTTAAATAAACTGTGACTTAAAATCTGATCATTTGATTGTAAAAATAGAAAATGATGCAAAATATAACATTTGTATCATAGCTTGGAGACATTTCTATTGAAAATGTGTCAGAGTTAAATTGTATACACATACATGCACGGCGCGTTAACTGGAGTGCTGAACTCCAGTTACCACACTGTCTTTAGGAATAAAACTTAACATTTGTACTGTGATCTACTTATTGTGACGGCAGGGAAAGGGATAACGATAAAGAGGCATATTCAGATGTTCTAACATTACTCACTTCTATCTTGGTTTTCATATTGTGACAGGGAGCGTGTGTTTTTGCCTTTGCAACAAAATAGAAAGAACATCAGAACGATCGGCAATGAAATTTATAATCAGGAACTATGCCACCTCATACAGTTCAGATAGCCTCGTGTTTCGGTGATCTTTCTATTACTAGTTTGTATTTGCGCTTATTACATTTCAGATCAGAGGCCGGTTCATGTAACACATATGTTCAGAGATATACGAAAACATGCTCCAATTTGTGGGGATGGCGTTATGGCTGTAAAAACAAGTGATGTGTTTATAAATACTCTCCTAAAATATATATAGCTAATTGTCTTTAATATGTGATATTTTTTAGGCCCCCTTCGAAGAAGAGGGGTATATTGTTTTGCTAATGTCGGTCTGTCTGTCGGTCTGTCTGCCGGTCTGTCCGTCGGTAGACCACATGGTTTCCGCTGATTATTTTGAAAACTATTTATCACAGTCTTCATTTTTCACATGGTGATTGGTCATAACTAGTAGATGACCTCTATCGATTTCGGGGTCACTAGATCAAAGGTCACAGGGGCCTTAAATGTCAAAATGGTTTCCGCTGATTATCTTAAAAAATATTCATCACAAAGTCTTCATATTTCACATATAAATTGGTCATAACTAGTCGATGACCCCTATTGATTTTGGGATCATTAGGTGAAAGGTCAAGGTCACTAGGCCTCAAATGTCAGAATGGTTTCCGCTCATATCTTGGTTACAATTAATCGCAAAGTCTTCATATTTCACATATTGATTGGTCATAACTAGTAGATGACCCCTATTGAATTTAGTGCCACTAAGTCAAAGGTCAAGGTCACATGGGCCTTGAATGCTAATATGATTTTTGCATTTGATCATGATTACTATTTATCACTAAGTATTTACAATTCACATATTTGTTGGTCATAACTAGTAGATGACCTCTATTGATTTTAGAGTCACTAGGTCAAAAGTCAAGGTCACAGGGATCTTTAATGTCAGAATGGTTTCAACTGATTTATCACGAAAAGTATTCATCACAAAGTCTACATGTTTCACATATTGATTGGATATAACCAGTAGATGACCCCTATTGATTTTAGGTCACTAGGTTAAAGGACAAGGTCACAGGGCCTTTAAATGTCAGAATGATTTCCGCTCATTATCTTGGTTACAATTCATCACAAAGTCTTCCAATTTCACATATTGATAGTAGAGGACCCTTATTGATTTTAGGGTCACTAGGCCAAAGGTCAAGGTCACAGCGGCCTTGAATGTTAATATGATTTTCGCTTATTATCTTGGTTACTATTTAACACAAAGTCTTCATATTCACATATTGATTGGTCATAACTAGAAGATGACCACTGTTGATTATTGGGTATCCAGGTCAAAGGTCAAGGTCACAGGTTCCTTGAATAGTAGAGGATTTCAGCTCATTATCTTGAAAGATAATTATCACAAAGTCTTCATATTTCATATATTGATTGGTCATTACCAACAGATGATCCATATTGCTTTTGGGGTCACTCTAAGATTACAGGGGCCTTAAATGTAATAATAGTTCTCGCTTATTATCTTGAAAACTGTTCATCACAAGTCTATATATTTCTAATATTGATTGGTCATAACTAGTAAGTGACTGCTATTTATTTTAAGGTCACTAGGTCAAGGTCACAGGGGCCTTAGATGTCTCATTATCTTGAAAACTTTGTATTGCAAAGTCTTCATTACTTTTCTTTTTCCATAATTGAATACTTCAATGTACCCATTTATGGCAAGTTTCCCTTACAAAATTACCAATAATGTGAGTCAAGGGCTAGAAAGGGGGGCTATGTGTCGTTTGACATTTCTTTTTTCTTTTTTATGCTTTCACTTATACATGTATTTATCATAATTTCCTTTAAATAAATATCTTAATAAGTAAAAATAGAAATAATGATTGAACGAAACGAAAATAAAAAATTCATTCTTTAAATATGTTTTACCATTTTGAAATGCGTATTGGTAATTAATTTGAAAACAAGAATATGATACTATATTAATCAATTTAGTATTTTTGCAAATATGACACTATGTTAATTATTTTAGTATTTTTGAAATTACAGATATGTAAGTGAAAGAGTTTGCTGCAATAATTACAATGGAGCTTCATGTTCAAATCGTGATTATTTTTTATTTAAATACTTAAATCCAGATACGCAATTTAATCAGCCCTAAATCGCAAGCTCATAATATTTATATAACATTTTCAATTACAATAATTGTGTCCATTGTAAAAGACTTAGTTTTATTCTAACTAGTATAACATAATTTGATCTTAACAAGTAATTTGAAAAATAGTAATGCTAAGCTGTAACATAATAATTATGTTTAATAAGAAATGATTACAATTTTTATAGTTTACTCGTTAGTTGCTGTTAAAACAATGTACATTAGACACAACATAGTATTTCGTTTTTTCTTCAGCGACAAATAATAAACGAGAAAAGATTCATAGAATATTATGTTTTTGCCTTTGACGTTATCACTTACCTAAAAATAAGTACTCTCTTTTTAGCAAAATGTCGAATGGGGTATGGCTCAAACGCTTGCAATGTCAACAACGAGGGATATGTTAAATACAAAAATGGTAATGTTGTCAGAAACAGTGGTGGGGTATGCAATGCACCATTCCAATGCAGAAACTGTAACACAGGATATTATCCTGTTACCTCGAACAACGGATATTGTAAAGGTAATCTATTTAGAACATAACTTCATGCGTTTACATTATTTTTTTCTGTATATTTTATATGCAATATATATTTCCAATTGTTGATGAAAGGATAAACAATTATGATCAGTATTGTTGATAAGTTCTTCATGATTTAAAATATATGATGTATTGGTATTTAGATTTCTTTTGCAACTATTTCAAAAGTATCATGTAAATTTGTATTATTTTTTATCATTCCAGCGTGTTACAAGCCTGTATATTGCAATCTACCAGTATGTACTTCATCGAGTAACTATTGGTGTGAGTATTGTGTAGGTGAATATATAAGAAACAAACCAGGCTATAACGTTTATTCAGGGTTACCAAATAGCAAAGTATGTCAAAGTAAGTTAAAAAAAAGAAAACATGTATGCTTCTTTTTACGCTTTAAAAAAAATGATTTAAATTTTATATATTGTTATTCATTGAATACTGCAACGTGCATATTTGTTGTTTTTATTGCCATAATTTACTCTATATAATGCGCCACGTTGCATTTAAATAATAATGTAGTATAATATATAACCATAGTGTGTTTCATTTTCAGTGTGTACAAAATTCTGAGCATATTTTGTATTTTCAAGTTGTGTTAATAATGGCGCTATTTAATAAACAATATCGGTGTCTGATCTGCTATAATACTCAGCTGGATAAGCAATTAAGCGGCGTGATATTCCTTAATATAGAGTAAAAATGCTCCACTGGAATGCTTAGCTAGAAAATTAATCTAGCGGGGCATTTCAAAATATAGTGAAAATATGCTCTGTAAGAATATTCAGCAGGCAAAGCAATCCAGTGCGGCATTCTTTAAACTAGTATAACATGCTCTGCTTAAAAACCGAACAGGCAGAGCAATCTAGATTTGCATTCTAAAATATAGTGGTAATAAATGCTAACCTGGCTAAGCAATGTAGCGGACAATTCCTAAATATAGAGTAAAATGATTTAATGGAGTGCTTAGCTAGAAGAAAAATCTAGCAGGACATTAAAATATGTAGTGTACAAAATGCTCTGCTTGAATGCACAGCTGGCTAAGATTGTTCTGTCAGCCGAGCTTTGGAGCAGATCATTTCTTTTACAAGTTTTAAAAATGCAGCAGAGCATTTTTACACTTTATTGATAGATTGCTCTGCCAGCTGAGCATTGTTGCAAAGAATTGTTTTGCAGAGCAAAAATTCACTATCTTCTCGAATATCCCGCTATATTGCTTGCCAGTTAAGCTTTTTAGCAGAGCATTTTACTCTATATTTTCTGAAAGTTCTGCTTGATTGCTCTGCCAGCTGAGCATTCCAGTTTGGCATTTTGTCTCTGCTAGCCAGCTCAGCATCTGAGCAGATAATTTTATACTATGTTTAGGAATACTCTGCTAGATTGTTCAGCCAGATGAGCACTTCAACAGAGTCTTTTTTATAATACATGTACGTTTAAAATGCCCGCAAAGATGCTTAGCAAGTTGAGCATTGCAACAGAGCATTTCTTGCACTAAGTTTATGAAAACCCTACCAGATTGCCTAGCTTGCTCAGCATTCTATAAGGCAGAGTACGATGTAAGCCAAATAGGTCGAGATTAACTGACTATTGCCAAGGACCAGACCGTCTCTTGATCAACGTCCAGGTTCTCTATATTTTTATGAATTACGTTTTCATTTTCTATCGCTGCATATGTTTTAAACATGAAGCTTAAAAAACGGATTTAGCCTAGAGTTTGACAGTTCAGATGTGGGATTTCTTATTTTGTAATCAGACAACGTATTCAGTTTGTGGCATCGTTCCTGTTAAGCGCTTGACAGTAGTATATATTATATTTTACATGATTTGATACTTAATCTTAAATTAAACATTCTTTTTTGCTAGGAGCTTGTTCGTGGGAGAACGGTGCGAGGTGCTTCCCTGGCTCATGTACTGGTAACATGATTCTGAATAGAGACTGCAAATGCGCTCGAGGTTTTACAAGCACAAACTGTGCTACAGGTAGAGACGGTGTTTACAAAAAAATAAATACAATAACCGGATGCAATGTTTGAATATCTGAAATTTTATTCTTATTGTACAATTTAAAAAATTCCTAGACAACTATAAACTAGGATATAGTTCACTTAGTACAGTTATTACCGTTTATCGCATACCCGTGACGCTTTTGCGACTCAGTAAAAAATGGTATTGCAAAGCCGTGCATATATTTTGACGTGACATTTTTTGCATTATACAAACAACGCAAGGGCGCCTTAAATGATAGGGTTACGTTAGGCGCATCAGTAACAATATAAATATCTTTCAACAGTAAAACATGCAGTCTTCTTTTCCAGCAACTGCGGTACCAACAATAAAGATAATGCATTTCAAGGTGTCCACTCAAGCAAATGACACACACATGCTCATTGTCGATAAAGCACTCGGTAAAGTTAAATTTTGGACAAAGTATACTGATTTGGCGAATATCTCTTATCAAATAACGGCGTATTATAAACCCGAAATTGAACATGCAAAAACGCCAAACTACATACATAGTTATTACATTGGAATAGCAGAAGTGAAAGTCGTATTGACATTGATCAGAGGTACGTGCATTTAAGTTGCTATTCTTTGTAAGTCGTTTATCGACAAGTTCATAGATAACAAATCTATCTTTACATATCACAATTACTCCTTTGACAATCCTTCTATTATTTAATTTGAATATATTAAAACATTTTCATTCAAGAAAAAGCAAAGTTCCATATCCTGTTTTATGCATTTTTAGTGGAGAATTATCATAGACTAAACTTTTTTATAATTATATGGGTGCCGCTTTGCGGCGTTTTATATACACGGCATTTTGTACGTGCGTGAAAAAGTGATTCTCTTTTACGGTACATAGAACGTATTTTTGATGTGATAAATAAAATATTATAGGAGTGTAGTTTCATTACTAGATTAGTTGAACTCGTTGTGCACAGCAAATTTTGCACGCCAAAGGCTTGCATACTATATAAAGTTATTCAACTCATTGAATACTTTCCTCTTTGTATGTAAATATTATTAAAATGTTCAGATTCAGCCACGGCAGATTGGACACGAGATGTTAGTTGTACGAATTTTAATCAATATTGTTCGGGCAGCTTAAGAGATTACCTGATCAGTAATATGCACCGATGGAAAACAATATTAAACAACGGGAAGTTCAAACACGCAGATATGTGAGTTTAATTTACAGATATTAATACAAGTTGAACATTAAAACGTATCATAGCAGTTACTGTTATACTTCTCACTAAGTCATGATTACTTATACATCTGACGGGAAACATATAATGAGCTTATAAATGAATACATTGTACTAATTTCACAAATACTCTTAATATCTTTAATCTTTAAGTTAGTGAATTTGACATGTTGTTTGCAACTTAGCAAGTATTGTTTATATAAATTCAATATGTGAAAATGTTAGGCGTTTTAGACTAAGTGCAATATTTAAATTGAAATAGCGCTAAATTTTTGCTGTCAAAAAGGGTTGAATTAGTAATAAACGTCTTTCGATTTACTATTGTAATAGTGATGACCAATATTTGATAATGAAAAATGTGTATGATACAATATAAAATATACGTAAATTATAAAAAGAATACCCCACTGTTTTTAAGAACTCGGCGTTTCCGATACAATATGAACGATACACGATATGGAAAACTTCCTTAGTCACATTGATTATTGATTATTTTGCATTGTAAAAACTATGAAACCAAACAAGATTATGGTAAAATATCAAGATATCTTCTTATCTATTAACTGATTATTTACAATCAGATTGACTTAATATGTTACTTAAATATTTTAATTTTTATCAATTTCTTTTTAGTATAAGGTTTCGCGTATCTGCTAAAAATGGAGGAAAAGTCATGTATCAAGACAGAAATTCTTTTAATGCTCCATATCAAATAAGACATTATTACCTTAACGGAAAATCGACATATGCAACTCTCGATCTTGCTTTCGACGAAGTACCACCAACTCATTGTTTTGAAAACAACAAAACTTGTTCAACGGATGCACTAAAAGCTGACGATTTTGTTACTAAGGTGACATTTTTATTATAACAGGTCTAACTGAAACGATTTTTGTCGAAACTGACTGATACATTAGCTTCAGATTTATTTTCAAGAATATGCAAACTTTGTAGACGCTTTGCTCTACGAAAAGACACATACACATTCTAATAACTTGATATTTTCTGATATATGTCTTCGGTTGTTTTATATTAATTTTGCTATTGCAAAAAGATAAAACGAACACATTTATGTTTCACGATTCCAATATGCAAAGCAATAGTTGGTCTTTTTAATGGTCAGAAAATAATGTGTACTGGGGTCCTACATATTACCGGATAAATTATGATGTTACTTGTATTCTAAACAATAAAAAATAATGGAATTTTACCAAAATCATTTTGGGTTCGAAATACAAGTAATTATTGCTTTATCAAACATTTGACAGTAGAAATGTGTCTTTAAAGTAGGGCACTATAAGAGAAAACAAAATCGTGTAGACAACTCAATTTACCGGACACTGTGTTCCAAAATTATTTGAAGTCGTGAATTGAAATTAATCTTTAAATAATCAGCAAGGAAACTACCACTATTGAATGGCAAGGTTAAGATATTAGAAATATCCAGAATGCCCCTAGAAATAGACACGGCAGCCTTGCCTGTTACGAGGAGGTTGTAATTGAAATTAACACTATTAACCCAATTAGCATATTGATTATTTATGATCCTTAAACGTATGAAACATTTTGATATTCAAATGGAATTCTGTTCTTTGTCATACAGTTTCCTTTTGGTAATCATATAGCATGTTACAAAAGCCATAAAATCTATTTTATTTACATTTCATGTCGAGTTTGCTCCTATGGGCGTAACCCGTTTCCTTATATGTTTTTTAATTTGCATTTCTTTGTACAAGACATCAACGAGATACTGTTTGGACTAGATTTGATATTACATTTTTATCATTTAAAATGTGATGATTGTCTTCTGAGGTCACGCTGAGAAGAATTAAAAGTACAGCCTATCAAAAATAACCCATTTAGGGTCTCCATATTCGGGCCTGCGCATATCAGATTATTTCCCGCTTGACCAGGTTATATAATACCTAGTAAACGAAAGTTCATGTTAGTAAATAAAGAACTGAATCCACAATATTTACCTGAGAGTGATTTTGTTGTTATTTACTTTAAAATAGAAAGTGTTGTACGATTCAGACTGTACGATTTTGAATCGAAGCAAAAAATAAAGCACTATTCGGCAGGAATAGCTTTTGTCCGGTAAACTGATTGTCCGGTAAATATGAAGGATACAGTATACCGCTTATATTTTTCACAATTTGAAGATATCAAAATAGAGAATAACAGATTCCTTGATGTACGCTCAAAACGCAAATATTGAAAATGTTAGAGGCTTTAAAACATTGAAACGGTAAAATTTAGAAGGTGTGCTCATACGAGGGTAACCATATAATCTTCACGATAACACGTGCGTGCCATTAAATATAGACACTGTATGCTCTTCAATTTAAATGCAAATATTTATCGAAAAAAAAGAATAGATAATGTGTTGTATGAGTTACAAATGTGTATACTCAATTGATATTCTATATGGTATTCTATATGACAATGAACTGTATTACTTTCAGCCAAATTTGACAGTTTATTGGTCTGGATGGTACGATGTAGATTCTGGTATTGACCGGTTTGAATTTAATATCTACTACCTAGAATCAATAAACAACGGTCCCCTTCAGTACAGAAATATGTTGCCAGCAACCATTATAGACACTAAACTGGTTTGTTTAAATTTGAACAATATGTATTAGAACAATCTCTTATGTTTCTTACGTGATATTGTTTCAATGTTTTGAACATTATGCATTAATTAATTTTTTTGAGTCATGCACCATAAATAAATGCATTGTTTGATCAATGTTTCTTATAAAGTAAAATAAACATTGTCCTATAATCATTTATTTTGAATGTTTTGTTGATTTCATTTTGTAAACAAATATTTAAAAATAACTAAAGAAAAATAAAACCTTTTTTGATAAAACAACTGTTACAATAATTAGTTACTTATATCTTTAGACATTATACTATATTAAATTTTCACAAAAGTATCTGCTTCACAGAATTCGGCGGTACTGAAATTGGAAGAACCAGGACCTTATTCTATAGAAATGAAGGTGCATGATCGTGTAAAGAATGCTAAAGTTACTAGAAGAATCATCATGTATGATAATGCATCAGTCGTGGAACTTGTTGGCAATAAAAGTTGTAGAATTATTCAAGCTCAACCTTCAGGATGGGTCAATAAGTTCAGCGATCAAATAGAAATAGTTTGGACTGGAAGATTTAGTAATATGAGACATAACAATGGAGGGTGGCTGAATGCAGTTCAAGACTCAGAAAACGTCGCCAAAATCCTTGATGATCAGAATGCAAGATCAATAAGAACCATTGAAGAAATGCCAAACGTTTACGGTACACATTTATACATTTTATCACAACAAACCAATTCATAAAGTCTGAATGTAATAAGCGTTTTTCTACCCTCTTTTTATGTATTATTCAACAATGATTTGAATGACATTCATCAATGTGTTAGGAATGTCTTGCGAAGTTTCAATTAGGTATTAAATTTTATTGTTTTTTTCTCTGAGCAGGAATTATACGATTTGAAATTGCCCGGACACAAGAGCTTTTTGGCACAGTAGATTACAAAACATTTTATCGTATACCTGATGATTATGTTTTACTGGAGAAGATGGTATTCACAGATTTGCAGTTAACTGATGGCAAGAAGGTGACATACACTATTCGTGGAGTGGATGTATTTGGAGAATTCGCAGAAGACAACAGTTCATTCAAGATAGATCTTTCTCCACCAGTTATAGAACATGTATGGCTACGAAAGGGGAATTTAATCAATATTAGCATGCATGACAAGTTAGATTTGTCAGACCTTATGTTAGTATTTCAAGTTGATAATTGATTTTAAAGAAGGTATCATGATTTAGAACATAAAACATTGAAAAACAAGATATATAACTAGAATCAGCAAACCAAATAAGTATAGTTTTCTTTGGACGGCTGATAAAAAGCGTATAATAAGCCAATTAAATTGAATTAACCACATTGTATAATATCACACTCTATACTAGATAACTACTATTTACATCAACAGTTAATACGCTAAACGTATAATTGCAAGTATTGCAGTTTATTTTAAAGATGATACAAAACCAATTAGATGGACCACGGCTTTGAAGTCATATTCAATATCATAAAAATAAAGAAAAGATTAATAGCCTTCAATTTCAGATTAAGCTATGTTTAATTAATATTCTAGAATTGAATGGGAAACACTTGATATACATAGCGGAATTAGCGAAGTGTCGTGGACAATTTTTGAAAATTTGACAAATCATAATGTCATTTATGGACAGTCTTACGAGCAACCACAAGGTGAAACAAAGGTATCTGAAGAGTTATGGTCAAACTTATATTATCCTTTATAAATTTTACTACAGAAATTTCATTTACCTTCAATTTAACCCTTTCCCCCATGAGCATATTGTGAAAAATGGCCGTTTTCACTGAAAAGCCTCCTGTTACAAGTTCAAACTGCTATGAAACTATAAAAAAAGCTTCAATACTAATCAAACTTGGCACAAATGTTAACTGGACCATTGCCTTTGTAACGACATGCTCAGTCTTAAATTTCCTGTTACCATGGCATCGAGGGGACATCTCAAAATTGCCAAAAATCACTATTTTGCCTCGATTTCTTCCATCAAAATTTATTTCAAAGTGCTGCAACTTCTAAAGGGATTGAGATAGAGTCAAAGGCTTTTCAGTGTTGGTTACACGTTACATTATAATCGACCTGGGGTCATTTTTAGCCTCTCACAAGTTCAAAATTTTCTTGGCGATGAGGGGGAATCTGCCCCCCTTCAAACCCCCCCCTAACAGAAGGGGGCACATCCCCCTTCTGGCAACCCCCTGATGTATATTTTGGATGGGGGGCGGCGCCGAAAAAGTGCTCAATTTTTTAACAACATTTCTCAAACGAAAACATGTGTTTGGGGCCCAATTAGGACATTTTTTCACTCTTTGAGGCCTAAAAAAGGGGGGGGGGGGTCAAAAGTGCGTTGTTTCGCGTATATATGAGGTAAAGGGTTAAGTCACATTCATAATGACATCGAAAAGCTACTTATTGAATACTTAACATTATGAAGTTTAATGCAGAACAATTTTTAAGTGCTATCGTGCAATTTTAAAATTATAATAAAGGACTATTGAAGCTTTCATATTCAAAATGTTATGTAGGCTACAAAATACTTAAAATGCTATATTAGTTTAATCAAGTATCGTCAACTATTTCTTATAAGACAGAACTTTCTTTTTCACAGAAGTTGCATTGATTAATATTTTTACAGACTTTAAGCGGATGTAGAAGAAAGTACAGATTCCATTCGGGGGGACCTAATTGTTACTGCACACCATATAATGGGTGTTTTCACAAACATTTTTAAATTATTCTACCAAAATCAAGATGGCTGAAAGATGTAATTCTCAATACAGTAGTTGGAAAGCATGATCATGACTATTTTATAGAAGTTACTGCCAAGAACTATGCTGGGCTAGTATATGTTCTACAAAAACGGGTAATATGTTTAATGACTTGATTTTGGAATACTATTAATAATATTCAATTTGTCACTAACAAATATAAATCATGATATTGAAAAATTCGATTTTTTTTTAAAAACGATTATTGTTTTTATTAAGAAACATTTAACTGTGTATCGATCAAAGTATTGATCATTGTTCTTAAGTGGTTATGTCACGTTGGCATTGTATTGCTCGATTCTTTAGAAAGTAAACGAGTATATCTTAAACGTGATTGTTAAAGTCAAGTATATTCTCAAGATATTTTAGTCTAAGAACATACTCGAAGTATTGTCTTGTTGTTTTTTTGGAAAGGAGGGATTTCGACGTTTTACGTTGTACCAAGGGTCATATGGCGACCTTCAAGCATTACTTGTGGAAGAAGAACCATATGAATGCACGAATGGGCTCCCGAGTAGAACCATCGGCGTTCCATAACCTAGCTTGGTAGCGTTTTTACATAAAAAACAAAACCTCTTTGCGGGATTATAACCAACAGCGATCAGGTTAGGAGGTTTGACGTCAACGACAACAGCAACTTGGCCATTGACGAATTCAGCTAAAGGAACTTTGAGATGTAGCGCGGAGTAATTTTTAAGAAAGTAAATGGTGTATACGCATAAAATCTAATAATGGCCAGGAAATATAAAAAAGTTTGACACATGACAATACTTGCAGTATGTTTTTAAAAAAACATATATGAACGGATCCAATATTTTAAATTTCAGATAACTATCGACATATCACCTCCTTCGGAAGGATATGTATATGATGGCCAAAATGGAGATTCAGAAGTAGATTTTCAATCTACTCGGCAACTAACAGGACATTGGAGCGGATTTTTTGATGTAGAAAGTAGTGTTTGGTTCTA